TTTTAACTTTATTTTAAATCTTTTTTAAATTCTTTTTTTTTTTTTTTGCTTTATTCAATATTTTAAACCATCAATTCAAACTTATTTTTTATATTGAATATTTATATATAAATTTTTTTAATATATATATTATATATATATATATTTATATATTTTACATATTTAATATAGTCTAATATAATTAAATTTTTTTTAAATAGAAAGATGAAATTACAAATACAATCGAAAAATTTAAAACAGTAGAAATACCGGTAAATACAGCACTAAAAACTCGAATTAAAATTAGTTTAGAGATTGATTTAATTTCAGTTATTTTATTGGTAACTGGAATTGTTACTCGATTTTATCGTTTAGAAGAACCACGGAGTATAGTGTAAGTTATTTTATGTAAAATCAAATTTATTTTTCATATAACATATAATATATATAAATTAATTATTTATAATACTGCATATATATGATTTCGAAAATTTTCTAAATTATGTATATTTTTTAATTAAAATAACATTAATTATAGATGTTATTTGAAACAGGTTTGATGAATTACATTATGGAAAATATGTAGGGCTTTATATGAAAAAAACATTCTTTTTTGATTCACATCCTCCTTTAGGAAAGCAACTTATTTCTGCAGCAGCGTATATAGCTGGTTTCGATGGTCAATTTAAATTTGATAGAATAGGTAGTCCTTATTCGGATATTGTGCCTTTATTCGCATTACGATTAGTACCGGCATTATGCGGCAGTCTATTAATTCCCACAGCTTATCATTTAATTTTGGAATTAGGTCTAAAACAATGGACTGCTACTTTAGCGGGAACTTTATTATTATTCGGTAATTTATTATATTTTTATTATTTATTAGAACATTTAATATACACATATATACACGCGTATATATTATTTTAAAAATATTATCATATAATTTTTATTATCATTTTAGATAATGCTTTGTTAACTCAATCTAGATTTATTTTAATGGAAAGTATTTTAATGCAATTTTCATTATTTGGATTAATATGTATAATGAAATTTAGAAAAGTAATGGATCAACCAACAAATTTATCTTGGTGGATGTGGTTAATTTTAGGAATTGCAAATTTAACATGTGCATTATGGTAGGTCTAAAGGAATTTAAAAATTTATATGTATTTTTAGTTTTTAAATTTATTGCTTTAAATTTAATATAAATTTTTTTCAGTGTCAAATATATTGGATTATATTCATTGATTTTATCATTATTTTTAATTGCTTATGATTATTGGAATTTAATACCGAGAAAAACTTTATCTAGTACAGTATTATGCATTCATCTTATAATAAGAATTTTTGTAATATTAAGTATTATTTGTATTATATATTTGACTGTGTTTTATATACATTTAACAACACTTTCTAAAGCTGGACCACATGATTCAGTAATGACGAGTGCTTTTCAAGCAAGTTTAGATGGTGGTTTAGCTAGTATTACAAAAGGCCAACCTCTTGAAGTTACACATGGATCACAGATTACTTTAAGACATACATATGGAAGAGCTTGCTGGCTTCATAGTCATAATCATATGTATCCATTAAGATATCCAGATGGAAGAGGTAGTTCTCATCAACAACAAGTTACTTGTTACTCATTTAAAGATGTTAACAATTGGTGGATTGTAAAAAAACCAGAAAGAAATGATTTAGTTGTTACAAAACCTAGTGAACCAATAAAGCATGGTGATATAATACAATTAGTACATGGAATTACAAGTCGAGCATTAAATTCACATGATGTTGCTGCTCCAATGACACCTCAGAGTCAAGAGGTATCTTGTTATATTGATTATAATGTATCTATGCCTGCTCAAAATTTTTGGAAAGTGGAGATTAGTAATAAAGATAGTACTGGTGATGTTTGGCATGCAATTCAAAGTCAAATACGATTGATACATGTAAATACAGATTATGCATTAAAATTTAGTGGAAGACAATTGCCTGATTGGGGTTTCAATCAGCATGAAATAGTTGCAGATAGATTAATAGATCAAACAGATTCCATATGGAATGTTGAAGAACATAGATATACTAAAAGTGAAGATCAGAAACAAAGAGAAAGGGACTTGATTAATGCTGAAATGATTCCATTACAAGCTACTACTTTGAATTTTTGGGAGAAATTTATAGAATTACAAATAAAAATGCTATTTAGTGGTCAAGAAGGACAAAATAGTCACATGTATTCTAGTGATCCCTTAGATTGGCCATTAATGTCTAGAGGAATTGCATATTGGGTTTCCAATGATAGTAATGTAAATATATATATGTAAATATATATAATTATAATAATTTATGAAAAAAAACTTATATATATATATATATATATTATATAATAATTTATTACATACATATATATAAAAATTCTTTCTTCACAAATTATTATTTATAATAATATTTTTAATATTTTTTATTAATATTTTAATATTATAAATATTCATTGATATTAATTGATATTATAATATTAATATGTTTGTTGATTTTTTATAGGCTCAAGTGCATCTTTTAGGAAATATAGTAATTTGGTATTCTGGCACAATATGTATAATTATATATTCACTTCTTTTAATATTTTATATTTTAAGACGAAGACGAATGTGTTTTGATATTACATATGAAGAATGGAACAAATTTTCTAATATTGGAAGTATCTTATTAACTGGATATTTGTTACATTTTTTACCTTTTATATTTATTGAAAAGACTCTGTTTCTTCATCATTATTTACCGGCATTCATCTTTAAATTATTGCTTACAGCAGCAACAATAGAACATCTGTATTATCTTATTAGGTATGTTGGAAAATAATTATTTCTCTCTTATTATTATTATTAATAGAATAATAAAAATATATATTATAATTATTATATATATATATAATAATTATAATATTATTATATATATATA